GTTCACGGGAAGCAGGGGAGGGGGCGGAGTTGGGGCGGGGGGGCGTGGGCGGGGCCTGTGGACTGTCCTCCTTTTGGAGGCTGAAAATATGGTAACCCTACACTTGCCCCCCCCTTAAGGCTTAGTCCTCTTACTTTTAAAAATGATTGCTTGCCCCTCTCCCCCCCTCAGGCTTTTCTGGCAGCCCTGTTGCCAGGTATCCAGTTTTAGACTGGAAACTCCAGGAGAAAACGGGACCTGAGTGTCCGGTTAGCAGCGCTGCCTGGAAACTAAATGTCCGGTTATAGGAGTAACCATATTAGCCTCCACTTCTCCCACTCCCAACACCCACCCCAGAGGGCTGGAAGAGAACCTCTCCTGCTGCTGTGGGAGGAGGGGCAGCTCAGTGCAGAGAGAGACAACGAGAATGGGCTATGTAGATAAATCTCTAATAATTTTTATATGACTTTACATTGTGCCTCTTCATATAACCTTGGGGTGGGTCTACCCACGTGTGACCTCTGTTTTCATGGGACTTTGTATCAAAGCCTCATTTAGAAACTTTGCATTGCCCTTGATATAATATTATAGCCCCTAAGGATAAAATAAGATAGAAGAAAAATTTCTTTTTGCTAGCAGTAGAACAAGAGCTCTCCCCCCCACTCTTAATCAATTGCCCTGTTGAATAAATGAGGTGTGGATGAGCAAGGCATGGAAGGCAGCACCTCCAGACAGCCTCAACTGTTGGAGAGGGGCTGGAAGCCAGACCCAAGGACAATAAAACGTGTCAAGTGGGCTCATTAAAGACAAGCAGACATACCGAGGGCCGAGGGGGTTAGAAGCAAGCACCTTCTTTTAGAAACACCCTCTTTGCAGCATTGGGACAACACTCAAAAGAAAAAAGAAGAACAGGAATACTTGTGGCACCTTAGAGACTAACAAATTTATTAGAGCATAAGCTTTCGTTAGTCTCTAAGGTGCCACAAGTACTCCTGTTCTTCTTTTTGCGGATACAGACTAACACGGCTGCTACTCTGAAACTCAAAAGAAAGCAGCACAAAGGACCAATGGACACAGACACAGTTTGAATCTGGTATAGATTTGCATAAGAGGAAAGCTGCTATAAAAGT